GTCGCAGTGACCATAAGCTGTTTTTGTCAAATTTATCATAAAATTTAAAAAAAAACTTCATGTGGTTCACACCTAAACAAAAGGTTTCCCCCTTTCCCTTATGTTTTGCTTCTGGAGTGTATGAGTGTGTAGTGTGTACTCATCTTGATAAAGGGAGGGTGCCAAAACTGGACAGTCTGTCCCCCGGCCCGTCTGCACCCCCCCATGAAACCCGGCACGAAGCATCCGGCAGTCAGCTGTACTGCCCCCTGCACCGAACCAGGTCCCCTAGTCACTCCACTCCACACAGTTGGTGGGTGAGCCAGGTTGGAGAGAGCCCCCAGACAAGCCGGAGTGCAGAGGCCAAACCCCACATAGAAAATAAACCACAGAAACAAAAAAGGGTTATAGGACCAAAAATTATGCCAGGTAGTTCTGGTCAACATTATATTTTGTCAAAGTTCATAATTTCAGAGCAGCTATGGTACTGCTTGACAAAAGAAAGGAAAAGCTTCATTCACAGAGCATATATAAGTTTTTTTTTGTGTGTGTGTGTGTGTTTACTCATCTCTTCTCCATGAGGGGGGGGTGGGGTGGGGTGGGGGGCTGGCCGTCTGATTCAATCTGCCTTCCACTCCCCTCACCAGAAACCCCGGCCCGATGTGGTCATCATTTCGTCCGCAGTTGAATCTCGGAGTCCAGAAACCGATCCAGCGATCACAGGTGTGCACATCATGTCGTGGGAGCTCCCCCCAGGGATCTTCGCTCCACCCCCCTGTCTCTCTTCCTCCCAACAGTCTGATGATGGTCACTCAAGCTGACTGATGGAACAGCTTGTCAGAAACAGCAAATAACATACTTATTCAACGTCAGGAAAAGCAGCAACCAGCTGCTGGCTCTGAGACTCAGCCTTTGAAGCTTTGTTTTAAACTTTCACACAGTCTCTTCGCAGCTGGACAGATAAACAGCCACCTGAATCTTGAACTCTGTTTTGCTGCTGTTCATGTTGTGCAGGGTGTGGGGTGGGTAGTAAGTTGGATCAGTGTTAGACAAACACGTCAGACGTGACCCACCTTATCTTGAGTCATGGTGCTGGGTGAAAGGGTGGACACCTGCCAGATGTTGTAGATGTTGTCTGCCGTCGGACAGGGTGCGGCCACCTTCAAGCTGCCTGTAGGTGAAGATCAGCTTCTGCTGGTCAGGACGGGAGGCCTTCATTGTTCTGGATCTTGGTCTTGACATAGTGCTGGCCTCAGCAAACTCTGTCCATTCTCCAAATGTCCATCGTCAGTCCAGACCTTCGGGTCTCAGGTGGCCGGAGTGGATGCAGAAAGAGCAGAGGGACCATCAGGGAACACTCCCCCATCACATGAAAAACAGCACACACACAAAAAACAAAACAAGATATTATCAATGAAACAGTTCTATTTAATTCAAGCAGCTTCTCAGTAAAATGTCAGGCATTAGAACACTTCTTTTTTTTAAAATGCCCTTTAAATGCTGCTCCATCATTAAATAATTTAAATCTCAGATAAACAATAAAATAAAGAAAGAAGAAAAATAATAATCACCTTGTTCCTTCTTCACTTCCTCCAAGAAGTTAGAAATACTTCATTTATATGTTTAAATGGCATGTAAACCAGTCTTCAGGTTAGAATGAGACATATGTTTCCCTTTTAACTCTGCATCTCATTTTAAAAGGTAAAACAAAAAACAGCAACCCTCTCCCTCGCCTGAGGGAAATGATCAAATCACCATTTTGAAATAAAAGCACTGAC